CAACAAAGCATATTGTTGAGTGTAACGTGAGAAGTATAACTTTTGGCAAAGACGGGACTTTTATGATGGGGATAGAACCTTACTTTCCATTATTCATGATAATTCTGGACTTGGCTACTGGCGAAGTGTACGGGTGACCAGCCCTTCTACACCTGTGGGTATTTTTCATCAGGTGGGACGAGAGACTGAGAAAAGAAATAAGACACAGAGACAAAGTGTAGAGAAACAACAGTGGGCCCAGGGTGCCAGCGCTCAGCATACGGAGGACCTGCACCGGCCCCGGTCTCTGAGTTCCCTCAGTATTTATTAATTACTATTTTCACTATCTCAGCAAGGGGAATGCGGCAGGAGAGCAGGGTGATAGTGGGGAGAAGGTCACCAAGAAAACATGTGAGCAAAGGAATCTGTGTCACAAATAAGTTCAAGGGGAGGTACTATGCCTGGATGTGCACGTAGGCCAGATTTATGCTTCTCTCCACCCAAACGTCTCAGTGGAGTAAAGAATAACAAAGCAGCATTGCTGCCAACATGTCTCGCCTCCCACCACAGGGCGGTTTTTCTCCTATCTCGGAATTGAACAAATGTACAATCGGGTTTTATACTGAGACATTCAGTTCCCAGGGGCAGGCAGGAGAAAGAGGCCTTCTCTTATCTCAACTGCAAGAGGCCTTCCTCTTTTACTAATCCTCCTCAGCACAGATCGTTCACAGGTGTCGGGCTTGGGGACAGTCAGGTCTTTCCCATCCCACAAGGCCAAATTTCAGACTATCACATGGGGAGAAACCTTGGACGATACCCGGCTTTCCAGGACAGAGGTCCCTGCGGCTTTCTGCAGTGCATTGTGCCCTGGTTTATCGAGACTGGAGAATGGCGATGACTTTTAGCAAGCATACTGCGTGTAAATATTTTGTTGACAAGGCACATCCTGCATAGCCCTAGATCCCTTAAACCTTGATTCCATACAACACATGTTTTTGTGAGCTCAAGGTTGGGGCAAAGTTACAGATTAACAGCATCTCAGGGCAAAGCAATTGTTCAGGGTACAGGTCAATATGGAGTTTCTTATGTCTTCCCTTTCTACGAAGACACAGTAACAGTCTGATCTCTCTTTTCCCTACATTGAAGGCTTGTCTTCTGTGTATACACTTAGCCTGTGAAAAAATGGCTCAGGAAAAGGTGGGCTATACCTCTTTTACTGTAGCTTGGTAGAGCAATCTGAGGGAGATACCTGAGAAGCAACTGCCAGTGTTTCTGGGAAGCCGTCAGTCTTGGTTTAGTTGACCACACAGTCTTTCATATCTGTAGTGAGCCGTGTTCACCAGCAGAGAATTAGGGAAGTGAAGTGCTGTTGCTGATATGTTCTTCTAACATATGGACCCAGTAACTTTTTTCTTCCATGCTCCAATGGTTCAAATACCTGTGCAAGGTCATACAGGAAACACACACTGGCATTGGCAGCATTCTGGGCATGGGAAATTTGGGGTCTAGGGAAGAAACTGGTGATGGCCTTCTGTCAGGATTCTGTGCTCAGACACTAATGTGCTGGAACTACATGGTTTCCACTGTGAAGAGGAATGGCATGTCAGGTGTCATGAGGACCCCTGATTCAGTGAATAGGAACGCAGTTCAAGTTTATTCAAGCATTTCTCTTAGCTTCTTGCACTCTTCCATTGATCATACTCTGCACATGGGTGGGAACAGAAAACTCCTGTCGTTCCTGTCAATGACCAGTGCATGAAGCTGGTGAAATTTGGATCCTTATAGGTATCTGTAGAAGAGCCTGAGTGTTCAGGAAGCTCCCACATCAGGTATTCAGGCTAACAGCTTAATCTCTCCTATTCCTCATGCTGAAAAGGGCACCTACCTGAAGGCCCTAGGTGTCACTTTCCCTATTTATAAGCTGTTGCCATTTGGTGATCTGACCCATCTGCCATTTGGTCCTCTCAGAGGGGAAATTACAAGGTCAAAGTGACCTTGCCTGTGCTTTCAAGGAGAGAGTGTTACAGACACAACCGTGAGGGATTTATACATCTTGTGTAGTACTCCAGCTACTGAAGCTGTTATAGGATAAGGGGGAGCCACAATTTGAGGAAGGGAAGGCACTCTGCTTTCCCTATTTCAGGCTACGTAAGAGTACAAGCAGGAATATGAGGAATCTCCAGAATATGACAGAGGAGAACAATGCACATTGATAGATGTCCTATGAGCATATATGACCCATTGCAAAGTTGAGATATCGATGAAAGGGACAGGTTATTATTTTCCATATCCTCAGTGAATGGTGGGCTTGTCTGTTGATACAAGTTTTGATGTGTCAACCTTCTTCTCTTTACTGTTACAGATTGCTAATGTTTTATATGGTCACATAGTTCAATAATGTGATGGACTTCTGCAAAATTACTGCTATCACTTTTGCTGATGCTGTTGTATCCTCACCAATGCCATACACTGTAGCACTCATCTTGGTCATAATCCAGGGTGTTCTCCTATAGATTTATTGCAAGTTGTGAGCACTACCTGTGATACGCATTTCCTGCTATCTTACTCAAGAGGGCTGAGCTGAGGTGCTGGTTTCAACTGCTTAAGTTATTTTCTCTTTACCTAGTGCTCATGCAAGCCAAACATTTTTGCTGCCAATCCTTTTCCACAATTAGAGAAGAAGAGGGCACAGAGGTTTCTCTACTTCAGGCTACCTAACAGGTCAAGCAGGAGTGTCAAGAATCTGCTGCATATGAGGAAAATAGACAGTTCAAAGGACTAGGGACTTTGATATGGAAGTTGCAGTGCGCACCAGGGTTCAGGGAAGTTCTCCCATTCCCCTTTTCCCTTCCCTCACAGTACATTTGGAGTACCATGACTGGAGGGCACAGGACAGCATTGCACATCCACAGATGTCATATGAGCATACATGGCCCACTGGCAGACGTCAGACGTGAATGGGGACAGGTTGTTATTTTCCATTTTCCCAGTGAGTGATGGGCTTGTCTGTTGATGAAGGCGTTGCTGCCTCAGTCGTCTTCTGTGTATTGCTTTAGGCCTGTAAAAAATGGCCACAGAGGTAGGTGACCCTTTACCCAATTATATTGTTACATAGTACTATAACGTGGAGAACTTCTGCAAAGTTACTGCTGTTGCTTTTGTTGATGCTGTTGTATCCACACGAATGCAGTGCACTGTATGCCCTCATCTTGGTCATAATCCAGGGTGTTCTCCAGTAGCTTTTTTGCAAGTCTTGAACGCTGCCTGTGATACACATTTCCCACTATCATTCTCGGGAGGGCTGAGCTGAGATGCTGGCCTCGACTGCTTAAGTTATTTTCTCTTTACCTAGTTCTCATGCAGGCCAAACATTTTTGCTGTCAATCCTTTTCCACAATTTGAGCAGGGGAGGGCACAGGAGTTTCCCTACTTCAGGCTACCTAACAGGTCAAGCAGGAATGTCAAGAATCTCCTGCACATGAGGAAAATACAGACAGTTCAGAGGACTAGGGACTTCGATGTGAAAGTTGCAGTGGGCATTAGGGTTCAGTGAAGTGCCTCCTGTCCCTTTTCCTCTTCCCTGACAGTACCTTTGGAGCAACATGACTGGAGGACACAGGACAACAGTGCATATTGACTAATGTGACATGAGCGTACATGGCCCACTGGCAAACATCAGAAATGGATGATGGGGACAGGTTCTTATTTTCCCTTTTTCTGGTGACTGGTGGGCTTGTCTGTTGGTGAAGGCGTTGTGCCTCAGCCTTCTTCTGTTTATTACTTTAGGCCTTTGAAAAATGGCCACAGACGTAGGAGGCCATTCACCCTATTATATTGTAATATAATACTCTAATGTGGAGGACTTCTGCAAAGTTACTGCTGTTGCTTTTGCTGATGCTCTTGTATCCTCATCGATGCGATGCACTGTGTGCCTTCATCTTGGTGATAATCCACGGTGTCTTCCTATAGCTTCATTGCAATCTTGAGCACTGCCTGTGATACGCATTTCCCTTTATCTTTCTCAGGAGGGCTGAGCTGAGATGTTGGTTTCGACTGCTTAAGTTATTTTCTCTTTACCTAGTTCTCATGGAGGCCAAACATTTTTGCTGCCAATCCTTTTCTACAATGTAGGAAGAGAAGTGCACAGGGGTCCCCCTAGTTCAGGCTACCTAACAGATAAAGCAGGAATGTCAAGAATCTCCTGCATATGAGGAAAGTACAGACAGTTCAGAAGACAAGGGTATTTGATGGGAAAGTTGCAGTGGGCATTAGGGTTCAGGGAACTGCCTCCTGTCCTGTATCCCCTGACCTCACAGTACTGTTGGAGCAGCATGCCTAGAGGACATAGGAAAACAATGCACATCAACTGATGTCATATGAGCATACATGGTCTACTGGCAAACGTCACACATGGATGATAGGGACAGGTTCTTATTTTTCGTTTCCCACTGAGTGGTGGGGTTGTCTGTTGGTGAAGGTGTTGCTGCCTCAGCCTTCTCCTGTGTATTGCTTTAAGCCTGTGAAAAATGGCCACAGAGGTAGGTGACCCTTCACCCAGTTATATTGTTACACAGTACTATAATGTGGATGACTCCTGCAATGTTACTGCTCTTGCTTTTGCTGATGCTGTTGTATCCACACTGATGCAATGCACTGTGTGCCTTCATCTTGGTGATAATCCAGGGTGTTTTCCTATAGCTTTTTTGCAAGTCTTGAGCACTGCCTGTGATACACATTTCCCTCTATCGTTCTCAGGAGGCCTGAGCTGAGATGCCAGTTAAACTGCTTAAGTTATTTTCTCTTTACCTAATTCTCATGGAGGCCAAATATTTTTGCTGCCAATCCTTTTCCACAATTTGAGAAGAGGAGGGCACAGGGGTTTCCCTAGTTCAGGCTACCTAACAGGTCAAGCAGGAATGACTAGGGCACTGGGGTTTCCCTAGTTCAGGCTACCTAACAGGTCAAGCAGGAATGACTAGGGCACCGGGGTTTCCCTAGTTCAGGCTACCTAACAGGTCAAGGAGGAATGACTAGGGCACCTTCAGGCTACCTAACAGGTCCAGCAGGAATGACTAGGGCACCTTCAGGCTACCTAACAGGTCCAGCAGGAATGACTAGGGCACCTTCAGGCTACCTAACAGGTCAAGCAGGAATGACTAGGGCACCGGGGTTTCCCTAGTTCAGGCTACCTAACAGGTCAAGCAGGAATGACTAGGGCACCTTCAGGCTACCTAACAGGTCAAGCAGGAATGACTAGGGCACTGGGGTTTCCCTAGCTCAGGCTACCTAACAGGTCAAGCAGGAATGACTAGGGCACCTTCAGGCTACCTAACAGGTCCAGTAGGAATGACTAGGGCACCTTCAGGCTACCTAACAGGTCCAGCAGGAATGACTAGGGCCCCTTCAGGCTACCTAACAGGTCCAGCAGGAATGACTATGGCACCTTCAGGCTACGTAACTGGTCAAGCAGGAATGACTAGGGCACCTTCAGGCTACCTAACAGGTCAAGCAGGGATGACTAGGGCACCTTCAGGCTACCTAACCGGTCAAGCAGGAATGACTAGGGCACTGGGGTTTCCCTAGTTCAGGCTACCTAACAGGTCGAGCAGGAATGACTAGGGCACCTTCAGGCTACCTAACAGGTCAGGCAGGAATGACTAGGGCACCAGGGTTTCCCTAGTTCAGGCTACCTAACAGGTCCAGCAGGAATGACTAGGGCACCTTCAGACTACCTAACAGGTCAAGCAGGAATGACTAGGGCACCTTCAGGCTACCTAACAGGTCAAGCAGGAATGACTAGGGCACCTTCAGGCTACCTAACAGGTCCAGCAGGAATGACTAGGGCACCTTCAGGCTACCTAACAGGTCAAGCAGGAATGACTAGGGCACCTTCAGGCTACCTAACTGGTCAAGCAGGAATGACTAGGGCACTGGGGTTTCCCTAGTTCAGGCTACCTAACAAGTCAACCAGGAATGTCAAGTATCTCCTGCGTGCGAGGAAAATACAGACAGTTCAGAGCACTAGGGACTTTGATATGAAAGTTGCAGTGGGCATTAGGGTTCAGGAAAGTGCCTCCACTCCCTTTTTCCCTTCCCTCACAGTACCTTTGAAGCAGCATGGCAGGAGGATGTGGGACAACAACGCACATCGACCTATGTCATATGTGCATACATGGCCCACTGGCAAAGGTCACACGTGTATGATAGGGACACGTTGTGATTTTCCATTTTCCCAGTGAATGGTGTGCTTCTCTGCTGGTGAAGGCATTACTGTCTCAGCCTTATTCTGTGCATTGCTTTAGGCCTATGAAAAATGGCCACTGATGTAGGTCATCCTTCATGCTCTTACACCGTAACGTAATACAATAATGTTGAGGACTTCTGCAAAGTTACTACTGTTGCTTTTGCTGATACTGTTGTATGCACACTGATGCAATGCATTGTATGCCCTCATCTTTGTCATAATTCAGGCTGTGCTCCTATCGCTTTTTTGCAATTCTTGAGCACTGCCTGTGATACACATTTCCCTCTGTCTTTCTCAGGAGGGCTGAACTGAGATCCTGATTTCAATTGCTTGTTATTTCCTCTTTACCTAGTTCTCATGTCAGGCCATACATTTTTGCTGCCAATCCTTTTCCACAAATTGAGAAAAGGAGTGGGTTTCCCTACTTCAGTCTAGCTAAGGTTAAGTTCAAGCAGGAATGTCAAGAATCTCCTGCATATGAGCAAAATACAGACAGTTCAGAAGAGAAGGGTCTTTGATGTGAATGTTGCAATGGGCATTAGGGTTCAGGGATGTGCCTCCTGTCCTTTTTCCCCTTTCTCACAGTACCTTTGGAGCAGCCTACCTGGAGGACACAGGACAACAATGCACATCAACCGATGTGATATATGCATATATGGCCCACTGGCAAACATCACACATGGATGATGGGGACAGGTTGTCATTTTCCATTTTCCCAGTGAGTAGTGGCCTTGTCTGTTGGTGAAGGTGTTGCTGCCTCAGCCTTCTTCTATGTATTGCTTGAACCTGTGAAAAATGGCCACAGAGGTAGGTGGCCCTTCTCCGTCTTACATTGTTCCATAGTGCTATAATGTGGAGGACTTCTGCAAAGTTACTGCTGTTACTTTTGCTGATGCTGTTGTATCCTCATCGATACGCTGTATACCCTCATCTTGTTCATAATCCAGGGTGTTCTCTTGTATTTTATTGGCATTCTGGACACTGCCTGTGATGTGCATTTCCTTCTGTGTTTCTCAGGACGGCTCAGCTGAGGTTCTGGTTTCAACTGCTTAAGTTTCCTCTTTACCTTGTTCTCATGCCTGCCAATTATTTTGGCTGCCTGTCCCCTTTTATTTGTGATTGTAAAATTGGCAAGAGGCTTACTTAGCTTTCAAAAAGATTTGCATGGTTTGCAAAGAGGCAGAGGAAGAACTTACAAGTTTTCCAAAGTAAATATTCTAAAAAAAGGGAATTGTTAGGTCTATTCTTTTTTCACCAGGGAGATTCAAACTTTTATTTTTTATTTTACTTTGTATTTGCGCTTTCAACGTGCTGCCATGTGATACCTGTTCCCCCAATCTGCCCTTCACAATGATGACTTCTGTGTCCTTGCCCGAGCCAGGCATGTGCAGAGAAGTTCCTCATGTGGGACTTGTGCAAACAGGACCTCAAGGACAAATAATAAGTATGAGTACTTGCCTATTTTCTAGCCTGTGCGTGCTTTTACCCATACCGGTGTTTTTATGAAGCGTTCTTTATAACCAGTTGGAGTGGGGAATCAAACCATTAGCCTTGTTTACAGATGGCTTTAATTGACATGTTGATGTCAATGGTCTGTTGACAAGTGGGGCTGTACAATTTCTCTCATATCCTCCTGTCGTTGAGTCTTAAATGATCAGAGGTTTGGTTTCCTGCAGTAGACAGACATTTACTTTGTATGACTTGTTATATCCATCACCTGATAGAATTTTTGGCTATAGATGAGGACTCAGTTCCTGTCTTCTGGATATTTAGTGCACGGGCTTCTCCAAAAGGTTTGAAAGAATGTGCAGAATGTGTGCACTCCTATACAGTTTGAATCAGTTCTTCCAGATCCCTCTGAATTTGAGTTTGTCCTCTCAGCCCATTGTGCTTACTCCAGTCATGCAGTATATGGATTGCTGACAGCTGCCAGGGTGGCCACCTAACAGTTTAGATTTATGTTAGTCTTCTGAGCTTTCTTTGTACCTTTGTATTCACATGCAAACCTAGTGTGCTGCTGCTTAATTTGAGAAAAGAATAGCAGTGGGCTGTGGTCAGTGAATCCTAGTGGGATTCATGGATTTTCCCGGTCTTCCCATCAGTCAGACACGATGCCTTACAGAATGATAGAAGGGTCTATTGTAGACTCCACTCCAGTGTCAACTTGGACTACTAGTTTTGCAGTCAACATGCTGATCTACAGGATGTGGAATATAATTTAAGCCAGAAACCAAGCACCTGTGCTTCTCTAAAGTCCAGAAGTGATGGATCTGGGCACCTGGGGTTAGAGGTAAACATAAAACTTTTTATGATTACAGATGAGTGCTCCTCACCAATGTTTTTAGATTTTAGAACTCAAGGAAAGGAGAATGCTTCTCCATGGGAAATAGATAATGCCATTACTGCTTCCATATTTTTTCTTTTTTTGCCTTGATTCTTCAATTTACATGTAGTATTTTACATTGGCAGTGTTTAAGGTTAACGTTTAGTCCATAGGTTTTTGAATTTCATCAAATCACAACAGTTCTACAGAAGCCATGCACTTCATCTGGAGGACTTTGTCTCAAGGAATGGCCCCATGACACCAGCTATTTATACATACGAACAGGAATTGACTTTGGGATTGACTTGGACTTTGGGTTGTTTTCATTGTTTATGATATGTGCTTTAGTACTTACTCAAGAGATGGTTTTAAATATTTTACATATGGGGACAGGTCAAAACATGTATGTACTGTATCTATGTCCTGGGGTGGAAGGCAGCAGTCTCAGGCTGAGGTCTTCCTGAGCCTTGGTCTGTCCAGGAAACAGCTTTTCTCTGAGACCTTTCACCACACCCTTCTGTTTCCTATGTGACTGGCCATAGCTATTTGGTTTGGTACCTTTCACCTCACACTAGTTGAGCTAGTCATGCTGTTGGGGTCTAGAGTCTGAAATTAGACTTAAGAACGAGTGACAGCCTGTTAAGTCTCGTTAATACCCTTTCACTACAGATAATGTAATTTAGAAGTCCTGCTGTTGAGGTCACCTGAATCGGCCTCATTTCTGTGTTTTCAAAGTGTGTTTCTCACTTTGGTTTCTTGCATTTTGTAAAATATTTGTGTTCTTCCAATAAAATGTTTGAGAAGATTCCACTTGTAGATTTTTATTATTCACAATGAATGCCAGTATAGCTCTGCCGTATGCATCATTGCATGAACCAGGGAAGAGCTCTGAGCTCTATAATCTGATACATTGAGGACGGGGGCTTCATGGCAAGAGTGTGAGGTCTTCTGACCACGATGGAAGTTCTCGTCTTTGTCTAGGGCAGTATTCTCCTAAAGATAGTAGGTGATCTAATACCTCCTTAGGAGAACTGATCCTTTTGACCACTTCATGAAGAACACAAACACATATCTGGAGATTGTGAGGGTGTTGGAGGAATATCCTGATACTGCCAAAGGTGAGGCAGAAGGCAAGATGACCAGTATGTCAGCAGAAGATTGTTGCAAAAAGTCATGAGGACCACAGCTGGAAACAGAAAACACACAATTAATTCCTGGTAAACCCTGCGTTAGAATCTTGGTCTTTTGTGTCTGAGGCATCTTTCATTACACTACACCACTAGGTCTTATAAAGGCTTTGTAATAGCAGAATTAAGTTAGTTAAATGGGTAGAAGTTTTTTGGCATTGTTTGTTCTTTAAACATATCAGGCTGGGCACGGTGGCTCACGCCTGTAATACCAGCACTTGGGAGGCCGAGGTGGGTGAATCACCTGAGGTCAGGAGTTAGAGACCAGCCTGGCCAACATAGTGAAACCCCATCTCTACTAAAAATACAAAAATTAGCCGGGCATGTGGCGGGCGCCTGTAATCCCATCTACTCGGGAGGCTGAGGCAGAAGAATTGCTTGGACTCAGGAGGCAGAGGTTTCAGTGAGCAAAGAGAGCGCCACTGCACTCTAGCCTGAGTGACAGAGCAAGACTCCGTCTCAAAAAATAAAAAATAAAAAAAAAATAAATATATCAGTACAGTTTCTATTGCTTGTATAAAATTTCCAATTAACTAAAATTACCTACCCTCTGTGCAGCTTACCTTGATTTAAACACTTCATCAAATAACCTTATCGTTGTGATCATTAAAATCTGTACCCTTTCCTATCAAAACAAGAAGAAAAGAAACTGCCCCCACAGAAAAGGAGAACAAGACCATTGCAAACAGTCTGTCCTGCCTATAGATGTGCCACACTGGGTGGTTGGGCACAGCTGTCTTCCTGGGATTTCATAGTGATCTTAAACAGCAGGTTTCAGAAACTCTGTTCTTTCCATTCAGTGTAGAGGGGCCCAGGCTGCAGTGTCTCACCTCCTGTTTGGGGGTTTTACTAGTATGCTAAGCTCAAATCACTTCTTCTCCAATTGCAGCTGAAACTTGATTGATATGCCTTTTATTACCCTCTCTTGTGTTACAGAATGAGTCTCACATTAGGCTGTGAACCACTCCCAGCCAGCTACTCTTGCCCATGCCTCCAAATGTGTGCCGCTCTTCCCAGAGATTCTCTGAAATGTTGTTCTGGGCACTGGGGAGTTTGAAAGGGACTGAAGGATTAGGGGACAGATGGCCAGTGACATTCAAGTTATTACCATCAACCAAATTCCCTTCTAGCACTGTCTCAGCCTATGGTGGCCACAGTCTTTGAAAGCTTGTGATGGGCATCCAGTAATGAATCTTGCTCTGTTACCCAGGCTGGAGTGCAGTGGTGCAATAATAGCTCACTGCAGCCTCCAACTCCCGGGGTCAAGTGATTCTCTTGCCTCAGCCTCTCGGTTAGCTGGAACTACAAGCATGCACTACCACGCCCAGCTGATTTTTTTCTTTTTTGTAGAGATGGGGGTCTTGCTATATTGCCCAGGCTGGACTCAAACCCCTGGCTTCAAGCAATCCTCCTGCCTCAGCCTCCCAAAGTGCTGAGATTACCGGTGCGAGCCACTGCCACTCAGCCCAGATAAGGCTTTCAATGCCTAGTTGCACTGGCCCCCAGACAGTGGAGGGTCATTGGCCAAGTACATGTCGTCTTCCCTCATTTTTTCATTGTACGAGGGAATGTGTGAGTTAAGATGAACATTGTCTCAGAAAGCCAGGGACACACTGAGACAGGAATTGCTGCTGCTGGAGGTTCCCTGAGCTATCACTATCCATAGACTAGGGAGTATCTAAGGCTGGTTCACCCTGCCATCCTAACTCCCCAGAGAAACTGTAAGTGATGATGAGGAGCCTAGATGGAGAGGGGCAATGTCTGGGAAAAGAGACATTATATGAGGGCAAGATGTGGTAAATGCCCTTAAGGAAGAAATAGAACCTACAGGGTAAGAAACTAAAGAAAAATTTGGTGAGATTCGGGGGATGCTTCTCACATGTATTTTTAACTGAGGATTAGTAATATAATAAAATAAATACATAAATAAACAGCAAAATCACAAATCATCAAGTTTCCTAGTGTAATAGCTACAACAGCCCATTTACTATCTCTGACAGACCCTGTGCTGAGCATTAGTCTGTATCATCTTTCTTCATGCTTATAGTAATCTGGGCAGCCAGGCCCTATATGTATGTCTCAGAGAAGTCAAGTCACTTGCTCAAGGACATACTGTTAGTAAGCTGCAGAGGCAGGATTAAAGCCCAGGCATGTGTGATTCTATACCTTGTTTGATCTTAATCCTACAGCACCCTAGAATGGACAAGGGCTGATAAACAGATATTCATTAAAGAAAATTTGAAAACAGATTTTTAGAAAAAAATAGCATTATTCTTACCATATAAACTGAAAGTTTATATCTTGTTTTATTGTCATCTAGTCCTTCTTTTCCATATATATTTATAACTCTATTGTGTTTGCAATTGATTTTCCATTGCTTTGACTTAATTTATATGCATTACCTTATTACTTCATTTTTTTGTAACCTATGTTTTCATTTGTTTTTTAAAACAACTGTGTTCCTTTTTATTACAAAACTGTTCTCTATCTTATTGCAAAGGACTTGTCAATTCATAATGGCACAAAGGAGAGAATAACAAGTTAACTATGCAGTAATGTCACTCATCAGAGATAATTGCTTCAATTTTTTTCTTTTAGTTACAAAGACACAATGAGCAGAGGCGTAAGCAGCAGTTATTCCAGTCGGGGTTGGGTGCATCTGTGGAAAGGTGTGCCAAACGGACCCGTTTCTCCCTCAGAGAACATTTCTTCCCGTTGTGTGGCCCCTTCTGTCTCCCGGTTTCTGCATAAGACAGGTGGGCTTAGAATTGTCACTGTAGTCTGGGGTAGAGTGGATTCTAGGCAGCTGGGGGCAGCCGTAGGGCATCGTCCCCCTAAAGGCTGTGTCAGAGGGTGGAGGCAAAGAAAAATGTCTCTTTTTTGTCCCCATTTGGGCCCTATTTCAGGTCAGTGGGTATGATTTTGCCATTTGATTTTAGTTTTTCACCAACGTCACAAAATTATATTACCACTCCGATCTTTTTATATTCCTAAGCATCACCGGAAATGCATGGTTGTGGAGGCGAGTCCATGGGGCTGAATGTGGGCTTGGCCGTGGGCGTGGCCTGAGTGCTTGCGTGGGCTCCGCCCCCAAGGCCCGATGGTCACCAGTGCGCAAGCTCAGAACGGGGCCGGGCCGCGGCTGTGAGAACGCGGGGGCGGGACTAACTCCCTTGAGGAGGCGGGATCGGAATCAGAAAGGTGGGGCCAAGATTCCCAAGGCAGGCACGGGCGAGGGGCGGTGCGCGGGGGAGGAACCCTGAACAGTTTGCGGTGTAAGGGGAGATGTAGCCCGCTGCCCAAAGAGAGCAGAGGAGACGTGTTCTGGAAGTTGATGCGACCTCCTGCCGCACCCCTCCCCTCACCTAACTCCTCAGCTGTAGCGTGTCCCTTTACTGACTCAGCTGTGGACGCCACTGGAGTGAGGTTCTGTGAACACATTTTCCTCCTTCTTCATGCATCTCTCAGCCAGATTATTGGCTCCTTGGCCGCAGATGTGGTTACTTTGAAACATTAATAGGAAAGCCCCAAATACTAGCATACATCCAGAGCAGCACATTCAAAGAGTAATGCACCATGAACAGTTAATAGAAGGTGGGTTAAATGTTTAGAAATCTATTAATTTGCTATATTAAGACACTAAATTAAAATAATTATAGGACATCTTCAGAGATGTTGAAAATATAAAAATACGAGGGATTTTATTATTTTACCAGAAACATTTGCTTTTAATGTTTTACCAACACTACAAAATTGAATTGCCACTCTGATCATTACATTACTTTCTTTAACGTCATAGTCACATACATGCACATAATACACCATTTACTTAGGGCAGTCAATTTTAATAACACTCACTTCGATTTCTTTCATGAATCATGTGTTTTTATGAGATACTACTGTGTGTCAACCCCCCTTGGATGCCCAAAACAGCTCAGCCCAAAGAGGATGTGGTTTGAATTTAAAATACATAATTTAATCATGGGTTTAGAGTTAGGATTTTAAGTAGGACTCTTACTAATTTTTTATATACATGCATACTACATATATATATACATATAATATTGGAACATGTAAGAGAATCTTAGTTTCACTGTTATCGGTTTGCTTTTCTTAAATTATTATCTGTTTTTTATTTTGTGAGATGCAGTCTCGCTCTACTGCCCAGGCTGGAGTGTAGTGGCACAATCTCTGCTCACTGCAGCCTCTGCCTCCCAGGTTCAAGCAATCCTCCTGTCTCAACTTCCCGAGTAGTTGGGGTTACAGGCACATGCCACCATGCCCGGCTAATTTTTTTATTTTTAGTAGAGATGAGGTTTTGCCATGTTGACCAGGCTGGTCTCGAATTCCTGACCTCAGGTGATCCGCCTGCCTCGGCCTCCCAAAGTGTTGGGATTACAGGCATGAGGCATCGTGCCCAGCCTGCTTTTTTAAATAAATAGAATGATTTGATAATCATGATGGATTTATCAAGACTGATATTTTTCATCTCCCAAATCTACACTTCCTCTGTCTTCCCCAGCTTGGTAAATGGCAACTCTTTCCTTTCCATTGCTGAAACTAAAGGCCTTGCTGTCACCCTTGAATCCTCTGTTTCTTTCATGCCCCACATTAACTCAAGTCTACCTTCAACATACAACCAGAATCTGACCATTTCCTGGCACCTCCACTGTTATGACCTTTGTCCAAAACATCTTTACAGCTCTCCTGGATTATTCTAATATCCTCTTAACTAGCCTATCTAATTCTTCACTTGCTTGATAATGGCAAGTTCTTGTAAATATATTTTGTTGAACATATGTACGTGTTTCCGTTGGGTAAAGAACTTGGAATTACGTTGTTGTGTCACAGGGGATGCTTATGTTTAACTTTACTAGATAATACCAAACAGGTTTCCCATTTGGTTGGACCAATTTACATTCTCACCAGCAGTGCAAATTCATAGCAACAGCAAGGAAAGTAATTGTATGAAGAGAGAAAACACGACCCCAATCCCACCCCATTAATGCATCAAGTACATTTATTTTTTTCGCACCTCTTTTTATGTGGAACATGCCTTCTTCATGCCATTTGAATGACACAGTAGCTTCCAGAAGATCTGTGTACATGTCACTATTGGCATGTGTGTACATGTCACTATTGGCGGTAGACTATGAGGCTTCAGTGGGATATGACACCAACACCAGCCCACAAGACACAGCAGATGGGGTCTCGTGGGCCAAGATGAATAGAGCTGCCTTTCATGGGCTGTGAGGAACAAGGTGTGGTTCAGGAAAGGCAAAGCCTGGGCAAACTGCTCTTTCCTGCTTCTCGGCCCTATTTGCCAGTGCATTTACACCATGGAGTTATGGTGAGTGTGAACACACAAGAGAGTTTGACAAGGAGACAGAATTCAGAAAATGGCAATGGGCAGCCTTGAAGATGTGTGTTGGAGAGGGCACAGACCCACCTCTGCACCCTGCTTCCCTGAGGGTGGCTTGTGGACTGCTCGTTTGAACGTGGGCTTCAGCAGCTTTTCTCTGCCTCTTGGAAAACAGTCCCTGACCAGCTGCCAGCAATGCGGGGCCCTAGGGAGCCAGGGCCTAGAGCAATTGATCCTGTGTGTCAGATGGAGATGGTAACTCAGTATTTACCAGGTGAGCTTTGCAGGTGGGCGGAAGTGGGGCGGGGCAGTGGGAGGATCTGCCTAGCCTCACCTAGTGCTCAGTAGTTCTGGTTGTGGTATGGTTCACAGGCCTCTATATGTTTCCGGCTTCCAGGAAGTTTAGGCTTTCAGCCTTCTCTGTATGGGTAGAGAATGAAAGCTTCAAAGCCTTTTGAATAGGCTCAGAACTCCCAAAATGTCTCCAGTACCACATTCTATAAGGTCAAAGCAAGTCACAGTCCAGCCCAGATTCATGGGGGTGGAGAAAAAGACTCCATTTCTTGAAGGAAGGAGTGGCAAAGTCACAGTGCAAAGAGCTGAGCATCCAGGGATGAGAGGAACTGCTGTGGCCTGCGTTGGAATCAGCCTACTACTTTAAGTGTATGGAAATGTAAACCAATACTTAGAGCAGTACCTTATAAAAGGGCAGTAGCCAATATATAGGAACAAAGTCTGTATTTGAGATAGAAGCTTACCCAAGGAGTGTGAATCTCTTCTAATCTACTGTGAACATCAAATCAAAATGTGGGTCTAAAGGAACCATCTCTGGGTTTGCAAGGGGTTGGAATTTCAGCTCAGTTTTCCCTCTCTTTGCCCTAAGAAGAATTGAAAATGAAGTGATATCTTCTGTCTCCAGGAGAGTAGAAGGCAAAATAAACATCTGTCTAGGCCACAATTTAAATGTTGTGCAGAGTTCAGAGGTGAGACTGTGATCTGGATAGCATTCTGAGAAGGTCCAGAGTGTTAGTTTCTGTTTTGGTTCCCATCTTAATAAAAAAGGACAAACCACCAAAAATGTTAGAAACCATAGTAGTATTTTGTTCTTTGACAATATATTTCATTGGGGGTGCTAAGGACACTTTGAAAATGCATCCCTGTAAGGTTGTTCCGTGCTGTTTTCCCCATGGAAAATTCCTTAATATTGTGTACAATGATTCATCAAAATAAAATGTTTACTTAGAATCTTTGGATGTAGACTCACAGTGGCCCTGAATATATCCTAGCCTAGGGTATTCTCAACTATGACCTGAGGAACACTGAGCCTCAGCTGTTGGTAGGTGTTGCTTCTATAGTCAAACCCCTCTGCGAATAGCACATTAGATAAATACCTATTGGAGATCTGCACTGTACTTTAGAATATTAAAGGCTTCCAGAAGCCCTGGAATGAGGAAATTTGGTTGCTGTTTGTCTTTGTCTGTTTGTGTTGCTATAAAGGACTACTGAGACTGGGTAATTTTTAAAGAAAAGAAGTTTATTTGGCTCACAGTTCTGCAGGCTGTACGAGAAGCATGGCACCAGCATCTGCCAGCATCTGCCTTCTGGTGAGGGCTTCAGGGAGCTTCCACTCATGGCAGAAGGCAAAGGAGAGCTGGTGCGTGGAGATCACATGACAGGAGAGGAGGCGAGAGAGAGAGAGAGAGAGAGAGAGAGAGAGAGAGAGAGAAGGAGGTGCCAGGCTCTTGTCAACAACCAGTTCTAGTGGGAACTAAGAGTGAGAGCTCACTCACTCCTGTGAGAATGGCGCCAAGCCATTTACGAGGGATCCAGCTCCATGACCCAAACACCTCCCAACAGGCCCCACCTCTAACACTGAGGATTAAATTTCAGCATGAGACCTAGAGGGGCCAAAGAAACCATATCCAAACCATTGCACCATTGTTAAAGGAGTACCTATTAACATCTATATCACAGATTCCTTACCTGGGGAGGGCTTGGGAAGCACCTGTGAAATGTTTTTTGTTTTGTACATGTGTCCAGGCCCTGACTCTGCTCCACACCTCCTTCTGAATCAGAATATCTAGAGTGAAGCTGGGGGTATGTATATTTTCAAGGATCATGGATCATTCTGAAGAGCACCTCTAATTACAAACCATTAAAGGCATGCATGTTTTGTGGAGCTGAGTTTGGAAACTACGGGTCTAAGACAACATACTTATTTTGCTGGCAAGGACATTGAGATCCCAGAAGGGGAAATGACTTGCCCATGTATGGATAGAACAAATAATCTAATCTTTGAACCCTTTTCCCTGTTATATAAATGGACTCTACATGGCAGTCCATTTCTTGGTTTTAGTCTGTGCCTGCACAAGCAGAAACACTGAGCAATTTATTGGATGAATTTGAACATGGCAGTGCAATGGTTTAATCAAATGAGTGTCTATCACGCTACAAACATGTTCTTTCTGTGGAGCCTATTACAGCAGCTTCCCCTGGAAAACCAACCGGAAACCAACCCTGCTAGCCACCTTGATCTTGGACTTCTAGACTCCAGAACTGTGAGAAAATCAATGTCTGTTGTTTAAGCCACCCACTCTGTAGTATTTTGTTATGGCAGCCTAAGCCGACTAACACACATGCAAGGATCTCTGGCTATGGATAATTAACTTTGCAGTTCCCAGAAATGAAATCTACCAAAATGATTCTCTGGTTTAGCCAACAGAGGTGCCTGGCATTTGAGTCATCCATCACACTAGCCTAGCAGCCAGAGGGATAGCTCACGTACAAGTCCCAGGCATGAGCCATTAATTAAACAGACCCAGAGCCTCTAGAATGAGGGATGATCAGGAGAACCTTAGTAAGAAATCTGTTACAACACTTGTAAATCTCCCCCTTGATCTTCCCCCCAAAGCACTTGTACCTCATTGACCTTAGCAACTTACAGTGGACAGGATAGTCCCAAACCTTCAGAAATGAACTGGGGCTGGGCACAGTGGCTCATGCCTATAATCCCAGCACTTTGGGAGGCCAAGGTGGGTGGATCACTTGAGGTCAGGAGTTTGAGACCAGCCTGAACAACACAGTGAAACCCCACCTCTACTAAAAATACAAAAATTAGCTGGGCACAGTGGCCACACCTGTAATCCCAGCTACTCAGGAGGCTGAAGCAGGAGAATCACTTAAACCCGGGAGGCAGAGGTTGCAGTGAGCCATGATCACTCCACTGCACTCCAGCCTGGGCAACAGAGTGAAACCGTGCCCCCATTCCCCACAAAAAAAGAAAGAAATGAATTGGAAACTGACTTTAAGTTAATGTTAAAGCCAATGGACCAGAACACTCCTGCAGTAGTGCCTACCTCAGAGTGAAGGGAGCATTTATGGAGGTTAAGGGAAACTGAAGCTTTTCTCTGAGTCTGCCCGCCAGTAAGCTGAGTGAGACCCTAAACCCCTCCTCTGGGATTATTCCACCACTGCCTGGACATGCTCAGCATCAGTCAGCATCCACACATTGCTTCCAAATGGAGTGTTCCTCCTCTGGCTAGTGGCTATGGGGGCTGCCCTGAGGTTCTGTTGCTTCCTCTAACTTCTGTGCTGCAACACATGGTATCATGGAAAAGACGATAGTTATCTTCTGCACCCTTTGAGGAATGCAGAGCGAAGGCATGGAATGGGAGGTTCCCCCATCCTTTTCTTTCTAGTTCCACTATATCATGTTCCGTATTCACCCTACTGTACAGGCAAACCTCCTGACTTCAGAAATCTCCAGGCAGAAACAGATGCTAGTCTCCAATATATGGCCACATGGGTTACCTGGACCCTGGAGAAAGGGGTTATAAGGGTAAGCAGGGGGAAAATGGAAGCTATGAGAGCTCCCCCTCCTCATCAACAGAGGAAATAAATGCAATAGCATATTCTTGTGGGAATTTCAGGGATTTTTGCCACTATTCAAGACTTGGAAAATGCAGATATTATTCCTGCCACATGTAGTTAGTGTGAATCCACAGCTAAAACAAGGCTCTCCAGCTGGTGTAGGCTACCGTGCTAGTAGGTCTGCCCCTTGGCCCTTATCATCTAGCAGATCCAATGGTACCCAAGATGTTTGGAGTAAATCATAATGCTATATGGGTTTAACAAACAGAAATTCTACAAATAAAGAAAAAAAAAGAATGCCATTTGGAGCCTGTGGCAAGCTCTGGTAGGAGATTCACCACGGAGGCTGCTAGGATGCAATATATACTATGAACCAGCAACCAATTTATAGAGCTATTCCTTCCACTGCCAAGATTAGCAAGTCTGGGAGCAGAGGAGTGGAAATAAAGGTGGTGTCTCTCATAATTACACCTGACCCATTGCAACAGTTTTGCTTCCCGTACCTACAACTCTGATCTCTACTAGATTAGAGGTTTAAATTTCCTAGGAAGAAACACTTTTAGTAGTATAAGACAAAACAATGGTTTCACTGAATTTGAAGCCACTCTTAGCTCCCCAGAACCATGCAAAAAAAGGTGATTTTGTTGTTTCTGCTGTAGAATGATGACAGACAGTAATATAGATGATTCTCAGGGCATCCTCTAAGGTATCGTTTTATACTACAATCCTGAGGGGTGCATGACATAATATTGCAACCCTACAAAGGACTCCCAAGGGCTCAGACTCCTTAGGAATGAAGGACTGAGCCTCCCCAGTGGCTAAAGCAAAGGGAATGTGGAATTGATAGAGAAATCATAAGTAACAGAACCACCACATGGCTATGTACAGAAATGAAGACCCTACCCTCTACTTATATTTCCCTGTTTATTGTCTTCCTTTTTTTTTTTTTTTTTTAGACAGTCTCACTCTGTCACCCAGTTTTTTTTAAGAGAAAGCGAGTCTTGCTCTGTCACCCATTTTACAGATGACAAAACTGAGAGGTTCTTTGAGGATGAGCACTTTCTTTTTTTTTTTTTTTTTTTTTTTTTTTTTTTTTTTTTTGGAAACTTTTCTCACCTCTTCTTTCTTTAGTATTATAAATAGGATAGAGTGGTGATGGTGAATTCACCGTTTAGATCATGGAATTATAGAATATCAAATTGGGATAATGGCAGAACTAGAAAAAGAAAAGACATCACTGGGAGAATGTGAACTATAAACAGAGGCCCCGTGACTTCACCTCTGACTATGGTAGCCGGAAATGTTTGTATGTGTCGCCTCTCTCTTGGTTGCATGTGGATTAATTAAATTATGCCAAGAGGGAACGTTTTTGGCATCGTATGAATGGGAGAAGGGTGTTTATACATGCTGGGAATACAAGGAATGAAAAGTAATTACTGTCTCTGTTACTTTTTTTTCCTACCTAACATCTTCTCTTTGGGGGAACTGCTAAAAATCACCGGGATTCGCTTCTCCAGAACAAAGGAGTACTTGGAGGATAAATACAGGTGATAGACAGACATTACTACCCAGTAAAGCCCCAAATATTGGATATCCTTATTTGTCCTGAAGCCTCTGCCTGTTAAGAATTTGATTACAGGCCGGGCGCGGTGGCTCAAGCCTGTAATCCCAGCACTTTGGGAGGCCGAGACGGGCG